TTTGTTTTTGAAAATAGAGTTTCACATGCTACGATTAACTTTTGTTATTCGATTCCATATTGACCTAGAAAAAAATTCAAAATCGAACGCTAACATATATACATATAAGATTAATTGCCTTCAACAGAATCAAATGTATGATTAAGTTTTGTTTTTTCTTTCTATCTTTATTTCAATTTCAAAAAGAAAAATTTTCTTAACACTTAAAAAATATTTCGTGGTAAATCAGAACCTTTTTCAAATGTAGCCCATTTATGACGTGGTATATCTTTAAATACTGTTTCAAGACGTTCTTGTCCAACAACATCATTATCATATTTACGAATAAAAATTTTTTCTATACGATCAGGATATTGAGCATAAGCACCTGCATATATATCAGGATCTTTTTGAAATACATCACCAAGTAAAACAAATCTACGATTACGTGTATTTTGTAAAAACATTTGTAATGTTTCAGTTTTTTTTGTCATATAACTTGATGACATAAAAAATGTAATAAAATTTTTATCAAGCCATGTAAAATGTCTCATATGTGCTGAACCAGCTGGAAAACCTTCACGATCAAAAAATTCTCTTAAAAATGGATATAATTGATCAGGTGATGCTGTTAAATATGCAAATGTTGCATTATATTCTTTTTCCCAATGACGATAAATTTCTGACATTCCTTCAACAGCTTTAAAATCACCACTAAATGTATTAATAAGTGTTTGTGTTGATGATGTTACTTCTGTTATTTTAATTGTATCATCAATATCACTGATAAATGTAATACCATTATCATCACATAAAAATATTTCACCTGTACCTTGAATATTTGTATTTCGTACTGATGCTTGAAATAGAACTTTACCACCACCAGAACCAGTTTGACGAAGTGTTTCAATTTCATGATTTGCCATTGTAAATGTATTTTTAAGACGTCCTTCATTATCAGTTTTTGTACACATCGATCGACTAAGACCATTAATACATAAATCTTTTTTTTCTTCACCTTCTGCTGTAAACATTTTAACACGATCATGATCTAAATCTTTTCGTACAACAAGTTCTAATGATTTTTCCATTAAAAATGCTTGTATTGGATTTTCTTCATAATACCATCCTTGATTATGTAAATTCCAATCAGCTGGTGATTTTTCTTGTGATGAATGATCTCGAAAAGCAACTGATGGTATAAGTATAAGACCTTTTTTTTCGAAAAAAAATGCATTTATTGTTGATGATACAATAAAAGCAATAAATATAATATGATATATATTCTGCATGATCAATCGATGAGTACTACTTTCAAATTAATGTTTTCGATGTGACTATTTATTCAATAACTACTAATCCTTTCATAAAAATTGTTTTTTTGCGTATTATACTTTGTTTTAATTGATGAAAAACAAAGATTATATTGATATCATATTACTTCATAGGTAATTATTGGCTTTTTTTCTTTTTGACAAAATTCTTGCACCTGTGTTCTAAATTTCAATTTAATGAGGATTTAAAAAAAAGAAATATATAGATTGAATAAATCAACTGTTGACTTTATTTTTATTTTTAGTTGATTATTTATTTCGTATGTATACAAAAAAAACACAATTCTAAATTTCTAACGATGTTTATTTTATGATATAAATGAAATAGCTTGAAGGAAATCAACTATATTTATTTTCATTGAATAGACTATACAAACGGAAATTTACGTCCTTCAGGAAATTCGGTTTTTTTTTTCTTTTATCAAGAATCTCTCAACGTATCACAAGTGGTTTTCTTTTTATCAATAGACGAATATATATATATATTCTTATATTTTAATTATTAAATTTTATGACGTATATTCCTTTAATCATTTCTTCTCTTCCATATCGAATAACAACATGAATAAGTGCTGATATAATTTGTGCAAAATTTCCTCCATCTCCACCATATTCATATGATATTGTACCTTGTTGTGTTTGTCCATTCCATGGTAAATGACTTGATGCTATTGGTGATGGATCACTACCATCTAAAGTTCCATATATTGATGGAAATGTTCGACCAATATTTAATGTTGCTGTACTTGATGAACAAGGACCAGAAAAAAGTGTTATAACCATATGTGATTCAAATAGATGATCAATTTTTTTCAATTGTCGTTGTATTTCAAATGTTATTGTAAATATATGTTTTTTTAATTGTCGTGTACAATTAATATATTTCATTGATATACGATCATCAAATTCAACAATTTTAACATTAATATTTTGTGTAAAACATGGTATAATAATTTTTTGATCATCACATTTAATGATATAGAATAGAGTAAAATAATAAAAGACAATCGTTGTCACATATAAAGACGACAACATGTACGAAATGTGCTTAAATGTTCGTATGTATATGTGTCATGAACTATTAGTGTATCACGATACACAAAAAAAACGAAAAACATTTCTTCTTTTTGCGCATTGATTATTTGCTATTCTTTTCTTGTCCTCTTTTTTTTTTCAATAAATATGACCGAACGAAAGAGCGAACGAATCAATTCAAACCAGTAAATGTTATGGATCAATATGAATAATTTCGTATGTGTATTTCTCATATGCACTCAATATAATGTCTTATTCTTGTTGTCATTCTTTTACTTAATCACAAGTTATAGTTTTTAATCATACTAGACAAACATCAAACAATTCTTGACAAAAGCAAAAAAAGAAAAAAGAAAAGAGAAGAAAGACACATCGACGAAAAAACACCTTTTTTTTTCTTTCTTTTTTTGATTACATAGCTACTCTACAACAATACTACTTCTAAATTAATTTACTCATTTCGTCAAAGAATGCCTTTGGGTAGTATTTAATATCTTGAGTATATTTTCTAAATCAACACGTAGTAAAAATAGACACATATGTTAGATATTAACGAAGCGTGCGCAATGCATAGAATATTATTTTTTTTTGTTTTTTATGATCATAACAAATATGAAGAACTTTCTTATAAATTTATATATGAATAAGAGAAGAAAAAAAAAGGCGCCCCAAAAAAAAAAACAAAAAAAAATGTAGTTTCCTTCTTTCTTTTTCTTCTTTCCCGATAATTGAATTTTATCTTAAACATGTAAGTATCATCACGTAATCAATAGATTTGCAAATGTAAAATTCTATTCGTGGAGTTTTTGTTTTTTTGCTTCATAGATTACTTAATCGTTAGAATTTAATACTTTGTTAAATTGAACATAATTAGATTTTGAGATAAGTAAAGAAAAATAGAAAAAAAAAAAATATATATATATATATAGATCGATATTTATGGTATTGCCATGCTTTTTGATAATTAATAAGACCACTCAGTGAAGCAAATCGAATATATGTGTGGGTTGACCATAAAATCTGCTGTATTTTTTTCTTTTCTGGTATGTTTTTTTAGCTTTAATATGTAACACAGTATTTAACTAAACGTTTGATATGAATATAAATAGATTGATTAGAATCTACAGCTCGTATTGCTCCCGCTGTTTCTGCATAATCGCAGAGAGAGAAGAATATACGTTTTATTTCTTTCTTTTATTCTCGCATTTCTTCATAATTTTGTGGTACTGCTTGCTTCTATTATACTTAGAAAGCAAATAGACGAGAAAGACAGAGAGAAAGAGAGAGAACGATAGAGGCGTATTACACATTGCTGCTCGACATTGTCGAAGTATTTGCACTGTTGAGAACAGAACGAGAAAAAACTATTTTGGCTTATATGCTCGTTGTAGCTGTAATTTATGCTTGATTATTCACTCTTTGTGCGAACGGCTTCTCGTAAGCTTTTGCTGTCTGATAGTCAACTTACTTTATCATAAATTACTACGTATTAGTCTATTCAATGAAATCTTTCGTTCTTTTACCATTAGACAAGTTTGCAATTAGTATGCAACTTTATTACTACCTATGTTCTAGAATATATTTTTAGACTTCCGGTAATGTAGTTCATTTTTTTTTTAAATTAAGTAGTACTATAATCAATCAAATTTTTAACGTAACAATTTATATGAGTAGTATATAAAATAAGACTAGTTATAAATGCAACTTTTTTTTTTAAATAAGCATCTATTGATATAAGAAAGAATTTAAAAAAAAAACAATTAAGAAAATTTCCCTTGAGTATGAATAGATTATTTACAGTAATGACGCTGGAAGTAACTGTATATATATAATTATATATATTGCTTTCTACAATAAGATATTTGCGCTTGACAATTGATTTAAAATATAAAACGAAAAATCTTTTTTTTTTTTTTTTTATCAAAAACTATAGTTTGTTTATCTTATCATTGATCACTTTGATAAAATCTTGATTATTAATTCTTTCTTTCGTTTTGTCAATATCCATTTTCCACCGAAGCTTTCAGAAAGAATACGTAGACAGATATATATATATATGTCAAGTAAAGGTGCACACCTGTTTAAAGAGAAAAGGAAAAAGAAGAAAACTGAAGAATTTCTGCTGTTGACAATGGCAACAATAAAGACATGAATTATGACAACTAATATTAACAAAATTTGACTCGCTTTCTCTGCCCTCTGTCAGCTTGTCTCTTTGAATAATAGTATGTTCGATATGATTGGACTATTAGTAATTTATTAGTTCTTTTATATACTTATTATTATTCCAGTACCCACAATATCAGAATATAATAGAAAAAGAGACTAAGTATTATTTTTAAACATAATCGAATCTCGAAATGAAAATAGTTGTTTTTTTAGTTGAATGAATTTTATTTTTTTTATAAATGATTTTAATTTTAAAGGGATAGAAAGAAAAATAAAAAAGGTTGATTTATGTTCTTTGTTTTTTTTTTTTCCTTTTCCTCCTTTCTTTTTCTTTTCAGAGTGTATACACAGTTTGATAAAAGAAACGATCAGAAAGAAAAAGACGAGAGAAAATAAAACAATCTGACGCAAGTTTATTGTGGTTTAGTGTATTTTCTTCGTTTAACTGACATGTAAACATTTGTACGCAAATTTATCTGCAAAATGTCTATCGAATTTACTAATTTAACGACTGTTAGTTGTCAAAGATTCAAATGTTCAGGTCGTGGTCTTATACTACCATTTGGTAAATAATTAACTCTTCTTAATCATATTCAATTATTTATGTCTGTTTTCTTTTTCAATAAAATAGGTATTGAAGCATGTATGTCAATACAATTACGAGCAGTGTTATACTTTATATTTTTACTTTATCTTTTTCTTGGTATTGCTATTATTGCTGATATATTTATGTCAGCAATTCAAACAATAACAGAAAGAAAACAAAAAATACGTTATCCAAATCCAGAAAAACCAAAAGAATATTTAATTGTTCAAGTTCCTATATGGAATGCTACAGTTGCTAATTTAACATTAATGGCACTTGGTTCAAGTTCACCAGAAATTCTTTTATCAATTATTGAAATAGTTGGAAATCGTTTTGAAGCAGGAGAACTTGGACCTGGAACTAGTAAGATATAATTTATTTTTCCAACATGAAAAATTTTATAGGAGTTTTTAGATAATTTTTTTTTGTTGTATAGATAGATAATATAGTTATGATATCATTATTCGTTCTTAATTGTTTTTTTCAATTAGCTTGACAACTATATTTATTACGATAAAAATATATCTATACTTTCTATATATTTCTTATGTTTAAACATCTGTAGAAAAGGTTATATTAACTATAAATAAGACAAAACAGATAAATTGTCATTCATCACTTTTAATATATTTTAATTATGAAAAAAAAACAAAACATTTTATACCATGAAAAAAATCAGTTAATATAGATTGTAATAAAATGAAATCAGAAAAATATGATACTTTTTCTTGCTCTCTCTGTCTTTCTTCATCCGTTTCGGAATATAAGAATATAATCTAATAAAATACCTAAGTGCATATTTATTATATAAATGTTTTTTCTATAAAAGTCAAATCTATATTAATTATGACTTAGTTAATTAATAATTTTAATTGATATTTTTTTTCTATGCTACTTCAAATAGAATACGAAACTAATTTTCAAAAAAAAAAAAGCAATATTTGACTAATTATTAATTAATATTTTCGTAAAATTGATTAGTTTTTTAATAGATCTTAATTGGCTGATATCTGTTTGCGTGCATACAAGCAGATAATAATTGAAAAGTAAAAGAACATTTTTTTTTAATGACATAGATAGGGTAACAAATGCTGTGACAGATGGATTATTTCATAACATCAGTCTTTATTTGTATTATTAGCATTAGCCGGAAAACAATGTCATAAAATGCTCCTGGTAACAATTCGAAGTTATTTCTACTGGAAAGAATAATAATAATAAAAAAAAAAGCCTAGAAGAAAACTATATATCAACTGAAGTTACATCTGTCATAGTATTGATTAGTAGAAAAAAAAAAATACTTTTACATTTATTTGTTTGGAATTCGAAAAAATTCATTGTTTATTAACATCATTTTTTTTTTGTAGCTACCAATCGGATGAAACTCTATTTTGCTCACATTAGAATAAGAATTTCATGTAGTGATTTTTCAGTAAAAATAGAAAGGCTTTTTTTAGCTTTGACATTTCAGATTATATTGACATTTTGAAGATGATAATGCTATATCGTACAGAAAATAAGGTCTTTCCAAATTAAAAAATCAGATGTTTCCTTGCCATATGCAAAAATGCCTACAAGCTAATATTATTATTTTAGTTGTTGGTTCTGCTGCTTACAATCTTTTAATGATCTGTGCTTTATGTATTGCATCAATAAAATCTCCTGAAACAAGAAAAATAGAGTTATATAATGTTTTTCTGGTAAATATTATTTATTTTATATTGAAATATAATAAATAATAAAAATCAACATAGGTCACATCATTTTTTGGTTTTTTTGCATACATATGGCTATTCATTGTTTTATCAGTCATATCAAAAGATGTTGTTGATCTTTGGGAAGCTGTCATTACATTTCTAATGTTTCCATTAGTTGTTATACTAGCTTATTTGGTAAATGAATGCATATAAAAAAAAAAAAACTTCTATGAAATTAAATCAATTTTTCTTTTTTTTTTTTTTTCTTTTGTGTTTATAATTAGGCTGAAAAGAATTTTTTTGCTTCAAAAAAAATTGATATGGAAGAAGAAGAACGAAAACTTATATTAAGTATAAATTCATCAATATTATTTTACTAAAAAAAATTGATTAAATATATATTTCATATTGATATTTAGCAATACCCGAAGTAGATGCAGCTGGTAATGAACGTATGTTTCGTCGAGAAGAACTTCTTCAATTTTTACGTGTAAGTAAATTGATTTGAAATTAGAATAAGTTTTTTTTTTTTTTATCTTATAAAATAATAAATAGGATCTTGGTCAAGCAACAACTTTATCATTAGAAGATAAAGCACAATTATTTGCAGCTAAATTAAGTGAAAGTATGCCTCGAACACGTATGCAATATCGAATAGAAGGTACACGAATGCTTGCTGGTGGTAAATCTTTATTTCCAAATTTACCTGAAAAACTTCAAGAGGTTTGTAAATCAAAAACAAAAAAGATTGTTTTTGCTTGTTTTTCTTTTTAATTTTCTACACTTAACTGATTTCTATAAACTTATTAACATATCTATATAAATATCACAACAGATATATACTACAATGGAACGACGTCATTCAATAGAAGATGAACGACAAATACCACGAATATTAGAAGAAGTTGATCAACTACCAACAATTGAATTCACTGCAACGGCATATGCTGTTATGGAAAATGAACAAAAAATTGATGTTATAGTTAAACGAACGGGTCCAATTAATGTTCCTGCTCGATTCAGGTGTCTACATACACTTACGCGCATAGTGATAAACGCCTAGGCATTATGCAATGCAATATTGCACAGTATACTCTGTGTACATCTATATATATATATATATAAACTATTCTAACTTAATATCTACTTCTTCTTCTTCTTCTTCACTGATTTAAATGACATTTATCTAATAGTTTCGGAATAATCGTAACTTAGCCTGGTTCGTTTAGATATATCAACGAGCTGTCAAACCGAATTCATCTGATGCGACTATTTCGCCTGACCATGAATATGAGAGTCGAAAAGGAGCATTATCAAAAATTAATATTGATGATGATGCACAAATGGCTATACTTGAGTTTGCCTCATCCAGCTATGCTGTACTTGAACGCGAACAGCGTGTAACTGTTGATGTCGTCAGATACGGTGTAACTAATTCTGTTGTTCGTTTTCGGTAGGTCCCATGAATGTTTAGTCTTTTTTTGTGAGTGTTTGCCCTGTTTGTTATCTGATGTTTTATTATTTTTTTTTCCCTAAATACCCGAAAAACTACATGTCGAAACATTGAGTTTTCTGAGAAGTATTAAGAAAAAAGGAAACAGGCTAAAAACTAATTTATATAAATATATGCATTTTAGTTCTTGAAACTTGCATGCTTTTAGCTCTCTTTTTCTTGCACCTGGCAAATACACAAGAGCACTTTTTCATATAAACAAATTCTCACATGCACAACTTCTACTTGGTCAAGACATACATATATATATATATATATACATATATATAGTTATATTTATGCTAATATTGTTTATTTATAGACTTGATACAATTGATGGTACAGCAACAGCTGGTGAAGATTATACTAAATTATCTGAAGAATATAAAATGGAACCTGGTCAACAAGAAAAAAAAGTAACTATTAATGTTATTGATGATAATCAATGGGAACCCGATGAAACATTTTTCGTCAAATTATCATTACCAGATGAAGAAGAAACTCATACAAAATTAGGTTCAAAAACAGTTGCACTTGTTACAATTATTAATGATGATGGTAATTAACTTTAATAAAAAAAACAACAACAAACAACGAAATTTTTTTTTTTGTTTTTTTGTTAGAACCTGGTTATATTGAATTCGAACAGACAATTAATTTAGTTAAAGAAAGTGCTGGAAAAGCAGAAATAAAAGTTCTACGTGTTAATGGTGCCGATGGACGTGTTACTGTTCATTATAAAACAGAAGATATGGATGCTAAAGCAATACAAGATTATGAACGTAAGTCAAATAATTTATAACAAATCG